GAAGTTCAGAGGTGGATCCCTGTGCTGCCCCATGAACCTTCGGCTTTGTGCACCGACCTGTGCACCCTGCGAGCCCCAGCTGGGCTGGGTTTGGGGGTGGCACCGGTGGGTCCCACCTGCTGCTCCCCTCATCTGACTCGGAGCCCACAGCCTTAGCAGCAGGCTGAGCAGTGCGACTGAGGGGATCACAGCTTCACCCCTTTTCCCTCTGCACCTGCTCCTGGTGGTAAGCCCACCTTCGATACGTGCACGTGGGATGCCACAGGAATGATAAACAGGTCGGAAAGGAGGTTCTCTCTAAAGTTAGCATCATTTTTAAGTGAGTGTAAGTAGGAAAGACACAAGAATACTGGAGGAGCAGTGTTTTCCCAGGCTAAAGTGGCCAAAAATGGTGCAAAAAGGTAAAAAGAATTTAATGTGATACAGTACAGTGGCATCTTTAATCTCTAAAAGGAAAAGTACGATTTCCAGGGCAATTCCTGTGTCTCTAGGTAGGACTGTCCTTCAAGTCCTTTTTTTTTTCTTTTTAATGGAAATTAAAAGATGTTCTCGTGCCTTTTATTATTAGGAAGTTCACTGGTTTGAATCCAATTCTGGTTGGTTAATTTTAAAAATTGCTACCTGGTGCCTGCTCAGTGGCCTATGTTAAACCAGAGCCTTTCTGTGCAGGTCACGGCAGATGGCTCCTCTTATCACAGAATCACAGAGTGGTGGGGGTTGGAAGGGACCTCTGGGGCTCATCCAGTCCCAACCCCCTGCCGGACCACGTGCCTAAAGCAGGTTGCACAGCTCATCACAGAACCCATCACGACACAGCACCCACAGCAGCCGCAGCAGTGTCCCAGCAGCGTTAAGGGCCGAGTCCACCACCAGGCTTAAGCTGCATTCTCAGACACAGACGTTAATCTTCCAATATCTCTCCTGCCCTAAGACACATAAATCTTACCTTCCCTGGGGTCATGCAGTGAACTTCAGTGAAAACGCCAAGCTAGCATTTTTACGCAAGCATTAAAGTCTCCCGTTCCCACGCCACCAAACAATTTGGAAAACTTGGTTCTCGGTAAGTATTCTTCAAAGGCAGGCTGGCAGCCTTTGCTTAGAAATTGTACAGGATTGCTTTGTAGTCCAGCTGATGGTCTCGCTCCGTATCACCAGCAGAACATCAACATAAAAAAACATTTCAATTAAGCAGCGACGAGAAGCAGTCAGCATTAAACAAGTCTCCCAGATCACAGCGCTCGCTCAGCTATCACAATATGCAAATACTCATAAATCAACAGCCAGAAATTTGGAAGCATTGCCTGATTTCACATCCAGAGCAGAAGAGGTGAAGGAGTCTAGGTGAAGACCTGGCAATCAGATCTGCCCGGATGTCTGTTTCCACGCAAAGCCTCACTGATCCCAGCAACAATTCCCTGGAGCTCTTCTCGAGGAGACTCAGTTACGGAATCAGGGCTTGTGCCAAAAGCTCCTTTATCCGACAGCAAGACACCAGAAAACAGCAAGTTTCCACCACACCACAAAAAAGTGGCTTTGCTGCAAAAAGAAATTTGGTTTGATGACTCTAAGAACCAAAAGCCGTTTCTCTCCCCCAACAAAAAGCAACTAAAAAAAGAGTGAAACAATTTTCTTTCCTCATTCTCACCCCATTGTTGCGGAACATTTCCTTGTAACTTCCACTAGCAAGATAAGAACTGGGATACAAAACTGGAGTAATTACATCTATCCCTAAGCTTTCCCATTCACGCCACTTAAAAATAACTCTAGAAATTTCTGCCACCGCTGGAGATGAGGAGCCCTTTTTGGAAACTGTCTGGGGCCAGGCGCTTGGGAGATAAATCCCCATCAACAAAACCGCTACATGCAGGAGGCCAGATAGGCAAGTACAGTAAAGAAAGTCTTCAGCACCATACTTTCTAATTAAAATGGATTTACAATGTGAAATTCATGATCAGCTCACAATCAAAACAAGAAAGTAATGGTTCATGTTTCAAGAGGCAGCTGCTCAGCCCTAACAAAGCATAAACACCACCTGGTAAGTGGGCAGTGCGTAAATCATTACCCGGTACATCCCACACCCCCTGTCGCGACAGTGTCTCCCCGCAGGGGCTGTTCCCACACCCCCTGTCGCGACAGTATCTCCCCGCAGGGGCTGTCCCCGGACAGACACCGCAGACGCCTGCCTCACAGAGCTGGGCGTCAGGCCCATCACCGCCTTTCCACGGCTGACGAACCGCAGAGTCGGTTTCTCCACACGGACAGGGCCAAGCCGTGCTCGGTGTCCGGGCTGCCGGTTCCTCCGAAGCTCTTCCTGCAGCGGGGGGCAAGGAGAGACCTTCTCCCGCGGGGATCATCCTGCATCGCAGACGCCCTGCACCGCCATGGCACAGCTAACGAGGTCTCCGTTTTCAACCAGCCATGGTATTTACATAAAACCTGAAGGAGCTTCTTCTGCCAAACGTACCTCAACCCACCCAGAGACCCAGAGGTGACTGAGGGAGACTGACACAACCTACACAAGCCCGACTTCCTTAGCAAGCCACGCTAGCAAGGAGCGGTATGAGAAGAGCTTTCTGCCGCTGCTGATCTGCGTGGGATTCGAAGCAGGTACCTGGCTGTTTCTTTGACACACCTAAGGTCTGGGAAGGAACAGGATGAGCACGCAGCAAATTAGGGAACGGGGACACAAGAAATAGAACAGAACGCAACTTTCAGGGCTGATCAGATTGTAGACCTTCCAAATAAGAACAAATAAAAAGCCATGACCCCTTAAATTAACGTGCAATTTTTTTGTCCCTGTATACCTAAATGGGATTCACTTAAGGAATACTCATTTAAGCAATAAATTGTGTTCATTTATATAAAACAATGAACAAATCATGCCTGCTCCCTATAGTTACAAGTCAGTAGTTCTGGAAAGTTTCGAGCACCAACAGCCATCGATGGGAGCTTGGTCAGTTTGGAGCCGGTGGAGATCCTGCCTGGACCCAGCACTCCCGTCCGTGACACCCGCGCAGAGCCGCACCTCGCTGCGGAACCGGAGAGGACTGAATGCGAGCCGTCATTTCTTAGCAGTGAAAAAAACAACCCAGGATCTTAAAATCAGCAATGAACTTCTTGGGGAAAGCGCACGGCCCAGCCTGGACCAGCACCCGCTCCGCTTTCCTACCGAGTCCCCGACCGCCCCGCGGTAACCTGGGGGAAGCCTCAAGTCTGGAGTCAGAGCACTTTTAATTTCGCCTTGCAAATGTCTCCGACGTTCGTTCAGTCATCAGCAAACTTCTTCACCGTGAGGGTGGTGAGGCCCTGGCCCAGGTTGCCCAGAGAAGCTGTGGCTGCCCCCTCCCTGGCAGGGTTCAAGGCCAGGTTGGATGGAGCTCTGAGCAACCTGGGCTGGTGGAAGACATCCCTGCTCATGGCAGGGGGGTTGGAACCATATGTTCTTGAAGGTCCCTTCCAACCCAAACCACTCTATGATTCTATGATTCTCCCCACTGGTAAATAGCCACAATTTACGCAGACATAGAGCATGCTGCGAGCTCTTCACGCACCGCTCCATGTCGCTCACGGGCGCGGGGCGTCAGCAGACCCCAAAACCCCTCGGTAACAGACACAGCCCACAGCCCTGTGACGCGTTTCCCGCCCCGCAGCGGGCAGGGGCAGGCGGCGACGGCTCCGCGCAC